CGTTATGTCCAGTACATGTACCAACATTGAGATGTCGTTAGGAGGATAATTGGATTGTGAGACATTCTGATTTGCGGCTGTCACTAATGCATAAAGTAACAAAACACATCGCTAAACCTGAACGTTGAATGTGTTCACCTCACTTAAAACGTTCACCATCCCCATATGCTTAAGGCTATTTTTGGTCCAGTTTCATTAGCATCATTTCATTTGATATTTCATTAACAACACAACACTCGAATAGCTATAACAGCAGCGTATTTGGCACTCTCAACAAGCTTTCCTCCATTGATTTATGCTTGTTCATTTTCAAAAAGCAGCTTATTTTTCAACGACGATCGACAAATATTGCTCCCCGCTTTTCTATGTACGTATACATCATCCAATCTCGAACGAATGCATGACCAAATCCAGTAATGAGCACGCTATTGAAAAGAAGTAGTTTCGGTAGTCGTTACTTCGTTAAAAGACATTCTTGTTCCGCTGAAAATCATCTGGTAATAGCGCAGCTGACAAGAAGCGGCGAAAACTTCTCGCTAAAAATGCTGCTAACCGAAAAAAGATAGCGGTTTTTCAGTAAAACGCTGCTCAGCAGAAGTGGTCCGCTGATAGCTATTTTCAAACCTTGCTTTCAAATATGCAACCGATGATTCGGGTGAAAAAAAAGAACATCATTAGGGTTGAATGATGAACTCATTATCAGAGTTTTTGAGTGTTTAATGCGGTGGCATTAAACACTCAAAAACATCCAGTTTATCATTCAGCAGTAAATGATCCTCTTCACTATAAACATGAGTCAACAATAAAAACAAACCTCAACAATAAGAAAATAACCGGGTGTCGATTACAAAACTTAAAGGTGAAAACCGATCAACCGACAGCAGCCCACATTGCAACTTCTCATTCTCATTCAATGGTATCAACGTGCTCAGCGTTTCATCTGAGAGTGCTCCTATTACATCCTGGATCCCGACATTCTTATAGTATCGTTTCTTGACAGGAACCGAAATGTGGAAAACTTCATTGCAGTACCACACAACTTATTTGAAGTCACATAACTCAATGAGCCCAGACGGAGTGCTACTGGCGCACTTACAGCAAGCATTTGAGGTATGATTAGGACGAGTACAAAAACGGCAGGCTCGAATTTGGCATTCCCCTGATCCAGAGCGTAATTGTATTATAAACATCTTGATGGCTGCAAAAATATGTATTCCTCTGCAGAAGATAAGTTATAATTCACAGAAGTTTGAAAAAAAAACAGCTCTTTGAAACGCTAACCAAACAAAATAACGGAAGTTATCGTTATTCTGTGCCGCTAAATAATTAGCAGAAGTTATCGCTCGCTATCCTTTCTAACAATGTGAAAAAAGTAGCGAGATACCGCGAAGTCGAAAAAACTGGCTTTGCTGACCTGAAAATTGTCACTCACTCATTTTCATTTGGTCGCAACTCAAAAGTTTCAGTACGATACGTACTGAATGAAACCTAAAATTATAGCACTGCTGCATTGTATGTTATACGCTCACGAGGATCAATGTGCAGTGTAATACATAAACATCGTTGTGAACGAAGGAAACGTATTCATAGATGAAACGCGTCTTGAAAGATAACGAATGTAAGTACCATATTACATCATCAGCGATTCAATGAACAGCACGATATCCTGTAATTTGACCTTTTTCTTTGGATTCGAAAAAGATTTGAAAAAAGCGAAAGCAAATAATCGTTTTCTTTCTCAGTGCGTTCTAACCATGATAATTTCAACTCCATTTTAAACTCGAACAAGTCATGCATAAAGAAGAAAAAAAAGTCACAACATTTCGATGCACTCATTTCACTCCAAGGCAGCAATACAGCAAAATGATCATTGATGATATATATATGATAAAACCTCGAATTAGAAACAATACATAATGAATCGTCTTGTTAATATCGAGCTATCGCATTCGTAACTTTTTTGGTCTTCACAATTCCAACTTTGCAATGATAGCATCCAATGCAATCCAGGAGCATTTGTTTCCATCATTCGATGTTTGTGACTGAAAATTCTTCAAGCTCTAAGTGCTGGATTCTTATTGTGTTTTGTGCCGAATCCAAATGAATACTTTGAGTTGTATGAAATGATGACGTCAATAGCGACTGAAATAACTGATGGAATTAAATTTTGAGACGCATTGCTGTAAAAAGCCATTCATGTTCCCCTATGACGCAATAAGCACAACTCACATAACTTTTGTCACTTTATCAATGAATGAACAGACATATCAAATGATTCGTCTGATTGCAATCCGATCATTTTGATTTCTAATCTATCATTCTAAGCTGTTCAACAATACCTTAACGATGTCCAAACAGCGCTACCAAATGACTTCCGAATAGTTTCATGATGAACATCAATAATGAAAGGAAAATTATTTTGCCCTTTACCCACTCTATATTCCGTTAAGGACGTTTTGAACTGATGACTGATTGCATTAGCGAGAAAAGGCAATGTGATCGGTGCGGTGTGAGCAAATTAAATTGCGTGATGATTATCGTGCTGTTCGAGAGGACACTCGAAGAGAAGCGATGAACATCTCGAATACAGCAACTGGTGCAGCATGCAACATTAAATCAGTTCGAATCTAATTTATGCTACTCGTTATCGATTTCTGTGCGCTGAATGATAGTGCTGATTCTCGTCACGTATAATAAATGAGGAACTCCGAATTTTGTGATACGATGCATGACTGAGAATATAGATGAAGAACGATGAAAAATATGCCAGTCACGGACTGAAACAAAATGCGAAAATTACTGCAAAAAATGATCTGAAGATAACAATTAAGATACGTTGAAGCGATACCGCAAACCGCGACCGGTCAATCTGCCTGAAGACATTTAGTCTAAGGGACAGTTTGCCTAACGGACAGTTTGCCTAATGAACAGTTTGTCTAACTTACGGTTTTTGAATGGATACCTCGCCTATTAGGCAAACTTTTCCTTACAATTGAGCAAATTGTCCGTTAGTCAAACTGTCCGTTAAGGAAGCTGTCCGTTAGGCAATGTGTCTTTAGGCAGATTGACCGGTCTTGCCGCAAGGCATGCTCTCACTTTGAAATTCGATACATAAATCAAACTGCACTCATCGAAGATGTCTCATCAGTGGATTCAATCACTCGAAGCAATTCAATCACCACCGAATATTAGGTCTCTTGAAGACTGGAAAAGTAGCTGTGCCATTGTGAAAACCTCTCAACCTTTCTTGACATGAGAGATTGAAGATTTTCGCGAAACATCAAGCCAACTGAATAGATGTGGTTTGATTGCAGAACCTGTTACAACGATGGAAGTATATTTTGAAGTATTCAACTCGTTCAACTAAAGACCCTTAAATTCATAAAGTTACTTTTCTGGTGCATCCGATTAACTTCATAATACGACATTCATGCACTAGTTGTAGATTACACTTGAATATTGCAGTAGTTGGCTCATTCATAATATTCCGCCGAACATCTTGATGGGCCGGACCATCAGCTGTTACAGCGCTGGTCATAACACGCTTTGTAGTTTTTTCAAATTCTCATTTCCTCTCCCCGAGTGGCCTTTCCTTCCAGCTCGGGAAATCGCACGACAAGTCTTTTCAGTTCTCTCCGATATCAGTCTGGTCTATCGGTCATCCCTCATCTTGGTCACATGTCATGCATATCTCATTTTACTATTTTGATACTCTTTCACGACGTCCTTTACACCAGATCTCATTCTCTTTGCTGTATTTGTGACGCGACCCAGGTGTCCCAGATCAACCGTTTATAATTCCGTTACTCTTTCAACTACTGCTAATTTCCACTCTTAATTGCGACAATACTGATGTGAAACTTTCTTAGGATTAAATCGAGTGAATCATTCTACCGCACATGTACTGGAAATATGACGAATAAGGACAAAGATGTTACATTGATAGGATTGATCTACTGAAACGCATAACTGAAATGAGTTCTCATTGATCAAAAGCACTTCTTGTTTGGGCAGTTGACTCCATGAACGAAGACTTCAAAAATGAAGGCCGATAGGTTTGACGTCTAGCAACAGACTGAATGCACTTTTAAGAAGCAATTCCTTCAGTTTCGATGACGACATACAGGTGCACACTGCATGAATCTGGATTGTGGTTGTATTGAGAGAGGAATTAGCACTGATAATCACCTTTATTTTATTGCAACAATCATCGCCTACAACTTAAAACGTGAAGATATTGAAAATAAAGATGAATAGAACGCACCAATCCTATTGCACAGAATGGGTTAAACGATGGGAACGATAGCATAAGAAAGATAAATGAGACGGAATTGAGTGCTTGAATGAAACACAGCAGAATGAATTGGTTGGAAAAGAGTGAATAAGAGCAACTTCAGAATCCTATGTAACAGTACAGTTGGAAATACAACAATAAAGGGAATAGTAAAAGGAAGATGAAAGTTTCTTGTTCAAAATACTAAATTAAGATATTACCACACGAAATGTCGGAAACAGTGATGGTGGCTCAGCAAAAAAGCAGGATAAGAACCAATTTTTGGGAATCACAAGTGAACATGAAAAATGGTTTTATCAATAAACGAAGAATGATTTCGGAACAGTCACAATCAATAACAAAATCAGTGTTGAGCTATCACAATATCACAGGTAATTTCACTATCAAATCGAAACCGTTGCTGAAGAATTCCTAAAATTGTACATTGGTTATTCAGAGTGTTCGTTACAACTCTGTTTAGTGATAACGATGAGATTATTGCACATCGTACAGGTTAGTGATTCGAAATTATCACGCTTCTCCAAACTGCTGCGGTGACTTATTCTTGACAAAATTTGAGAAAAGGATCAAGATTCTTCGTTTTTTTTTAGGGTGACATTACGAACGTATCACTCTTGTGCATCACTATTAGAACTCAACGTCGATGAATAACTCGTACAAAAATTACCCCTTGTCAAGGATTACGCTACCTCCATTGCAAATGATGTTACCACATGTCTCTCGTCACTCTGGTTCTCAGCAGAATTGCTTCCTCAGGTGACCAGAGTTTTTTATCGGTGAAGAATTTGAGACCCGTCAACAACTCGATGTCGAGAATTCGAGCCGTGTTTTCATAGAGATATTCATCGGGCTTCTGAAAGCAGAACTATTGGACTCGGAGCTAACAAAAACATTTTAAATTGTCTTACAAATTTCAGAACTACTTCTAGGATGACACTTTAATAGCAAAAGAATTCCGATATCAGCACTGTGTGAATCAAACATGTGGCTTGCCCAGTAAATATTGAATGCATGATGAGTGTAAATAAACTGACTTGTGATATGCAATTTTGCTACTGCCGCAGAAAAAAAGAATGGCTAAGCCGTTTGTATTCGAGTGGAATGTTCTTATGAGGGACGGATGATCGGATAAAGAGGGAACATAGGAATATCATAGGAATGCATCACATGAAAACTATCCTAAACATTTAATTCAAATGATGAACTGAAATTAACTTACAAGACAGTTAAAGTCTTCGTTGACAACGGGAAGAACGAATGGAATGAACGTTACATTGTGGCATAATTTCGGTGAAATCTGTTCACCAGGTGATGCGCAACGGAACAAAATAACGAAAATGTGTGTTGGTTTAGATGACCTGAAGAAAGATTTGCTTCATCTACTTGAGGGTCACATATGAACAAATTGAATATGCTATCAAATCTACGATAGTATTTTTAATTGACAGGTGGATAGCAATTTGAACTGATAGATGGTAATGAACCAAAAGGATTAATTGATCGGATTGGTGTATTTCGCATTATAAGGATCGGTATGTTTTCTTCCTAAGCAGCATATGAAATTTGTAACGATTACAATATCATTTCATCTGAATCGCGATGTGCATCACCATCGCTGTCATAAATCGGTCCTGAATACATCATCATTTCGCGGTATTTCTGCACGTAACCATTAATCTTGTCCACCAGATACTGCCATGTTCCTGAGTGTATTCACTTGTCATCAGTATGAAAGTCAGAAATTCGTTCCATCGCAGGATACGTTACAATCTTTGCCAAACTTTTCACTAAAATGCTTGCTTCATCAGCAAGCAACTGCTGTTGACTACATTGGGAAAATGTAGCCGGAAACATTGCGGTACGGTCGCACCAGATGGTAGTGCTTTTCGCTGTGATTGATTATTCGGTTCTCGAACAACTCCCATTTTTCATATCTCATTTCGTAAATGGTAGCGTTGATTTTGCCTTCGGAGAAAAATGAATTGATTGTGCAGAAAAATGAATTATTTTTTCTCTCCTTGCAAATGATGCTTCAGTGGTTCAAGGCCATCAATAACGCTAGAATTTTCTGAGTTCGCAAGCCGATTACCTACTGAAGTGGTCGTCAGATAAGTAGCACAGCAACAAACCTTTTACGAACTGAGAGGTAACCTTGACGAACGCAGTGTCCAGGGTGTTATATCCATCTGAAATATAAATTTCGAGTAGCTTAGCCTATGAAACCTTCATCCGGTCATGAAATCAATAAGTCGTAAAGATTCAGAAGTTCGGCTTGAAGAATGACATCGCAATTCATGGGGCACTCAGATGCTATCGCTGTCACTTCGACTGAAAGGCGTTTGTTTCGTTCAAATGATGGAATGCTTGCGCAAAGGGTTATTTGCTTTCGTGTTGGCTAAACAAGGAGTAATGATCATGCTTCCCAAAATAACGACCTCTTCCGATGAACAGAGATACTGTCGACACATCACTGGGCGGGTTTTCATTGCACGCAGCCGATTTCGGTATACCTTCAATATGACTAACGCATCCAACCCTGCAACAGAATTTGTATCAGTTATTTTTGACAATTTCGACATTTGTCATCACAATTTGCTTGCTGTTAGTCAGCTATGCTAATGTTAGTGATGTTTCTGCTCCTTTTAGCAAGCTGTTCTGTTCTATTCCGTCGTTCACTTGTTCTGTTCATCGCGTCCTTGTTTCAGAAGTATTCTGTTTGAATAGATTAGGAATAGAACAGTCATAGAGCAATTTGACTGGAACATAAACAACACTGATGGATTATTCGTTTAATCTCCAATGAACTCCTCATTTGATTACGATATTTGAACAAAACCAATGATGAAAGCGAATAGTTATGTTGTGACGAAATCGTTGTAATTCATTCATGTTCGATCTACCAGATTTGATGTAATTCAGCAATCTTAGCCGTTTTTCTGATAATCTGTACTGCTGATAATCCGTACCTCAGCTATTTTGTGATGACATGGGATTATTTGCGGAGATGAATCGAAATTAAACCAAACTGAGTGTTCTTCGCCCATTTTTCTTTTGTAATCATCGTCTCAACCAGTTGTGCTATGTGAAGCCTTTTATTGTAGTGAATGACAGCGTCAGATAATGGTACAATGCACTCTTGACCGTTAGTGACGACGAATGGAATTGTTTGTTTTGATTCCTTGCAAGGAATATGCTGTTCTTTCGAATCTTTCTAAAATATATTTCTTGTGCACTTCAATGATTCAAAATAACCTGCTCTGAGCGGTGCCAAAAGTTTTTTCAGTCATCTTCTGGTTTGGGATTTGTGAGTCAAGCACAAACACTAAATGAAGCTAAAGTTAGCTGAAACATTCACACATTGTTGCTACTCAATGGCTGCACTATTTCTGTTCAATATATTGTCATTGTGCAACTCGAGATACTTAACAAGATTTTCATCTCANTCAGTAGACGAATTTATGCACCAAAAAAAGCTTTTTTAAGAAGTTTTCTTTCAATGGAAATTGCAACACATTGGGTAGGCAGCGAATCGTTTACCTGACACGCCTTGTTACACATTTCGATTTTCAGTTTTGAGACACACTTGGATGTGGTCATCGTTGAATCTACTTCAGGAACTTTTGATGGTGGGTTTCTGAGGACTGAATATAGATGACCCTGTGTGCCGTTGTTGGGTGCAGGTGGTATCTTTAGCAAATCTGAAACAAAACTATTAGATAGTGCTCAACTTGTCTTCACTGAGGATGATGCTTTGTGTTGCTGCATTTACAAGGCTTTGCGATATTTTTTATGCGTTTCCTGGTTGAGTTTGCAGACCAGCTAGCGACTGAATCAAATTTCATTTGCGTTCGTCTGAGTTATGTACAGAAACACAAATCTCATACTATCGTCGGATTCTTTACGGAGTGAGAACAATTACGAATTTGCGTCCCTGATTGGTTCAGCTTGAAACGACGATACTCACTAGAAGCATGCGATAAGCTCGATCAAGTTCGAAGCGATTTGTCAGGTTAAAATTTTTTAAGATGGCACGGAAAAAGTGACTCGCCGGCGAATAGGTTGTAGAGTTGGACATTCTGGAATTCGGGAATGGTCTTCGCCTCGGCAATGCTCGGACCGATGGCGACAAAGATTGCTCTCATACTTTCGAGGCGATTATCGAATCCATGATTACCGAATTGCTTTGCTTTTTTGTTTGCATCCTTCTGATCCCTACAGAAATCAATGGCATTCATCGTTCACGTTTTCAATCCGATGCGCTATATATCATGAGCTTTCAACTACCGCTCACTAAGAACAATTGCGGGAAGAGAAAATAAATGCTGCAACCTAGCTGGGCCATTTAAACAATGCATTTATTGTTGAAATGTCGAGCAAAATTCTCAAAACGCACTTGAATATCAATACTCCTGGTCTACCGATCATAACTACATCACCAATACGCTTGGAACCACTGTAGTGATATCGGGCCGGTGTGAGCATTGTTCTGTACGTTAAGTAACTTTCACCTTTTTTACACTTCATCGCAGCGATTAGTTTGTCAACAGTTGTATCTGAATTATCAAATTTGTTGCATTGCCAGCGGTCGAAAGAAGAAATATTCCGTTCTACATCTTTCATCATCACCAGTGATGCCCAATTTTGAAAAAAATTGACTTATCTTCAACTTCAGTTCTGGGACTCTAGAATTTCAACTCCATATTATTAATGATTTCGTCCCCGGCTCTAGTTTCGCATTTTCAAAATTAACGGTCCCAACCGCCAATTTAATTTGCTCAGCTCCGACTGCGGAAAAAAAGCCAGCTATAGATCTTGTAGCTGTGCTGCTTTTTTGAGGGAGCTGAAAAGTTTTTTGGACTCAGAGCTGGGACATCACGGCCATCACTTTCATCAAATCATTGGCTAATTTGATCAACGCAATTGTATCAAGGCAATTTTTCCAGTTTTTACAATTACGCTTGCGATTTCTCGGAAACATGCTGCGCATACCGTTGTTCAACATTGTTATATGAGCCAGAGCGCCGGTAAAAAGCGCCTGAGTGAATGGTTGCGGCAGAATTTTGTCCATGATTACGGCGCGCGATGGTTCGATAGTCTGCATACCTGAAAATGCAATTGAGTACATCGTGTGTGAGTGTTCCGCGGCTATTAGCCACAATTTTTCATTCTTCTGCAATACGCAATGAAACACTTGATTAGAAATTTACCGATTTCATGGTTATCTATTGTCTCCAATCGTTACAGAACCGTCACTGCGTTCAACGGAATTCTAGGAATAAACTAACCATGATCAGAAACGATGATCAAGTTGATGCATCCCATGAGTTTTTCTTCAACGAGTTTTTCGACGAAGTACTTCAGAGCGTCATCGGCAATTTTCATTCCTTTTTTGACCTTAATCCCCATGTGCTGCGTTATGGTTGTTTTACAGTTGAAATTGGTAAAGCATTTCTGCGGCATCATTCTTACGTTTTTACAATGAAAGTCTTCATGACAGTTTGACACAACGAATCAATTATGTCGGAATAGCGCTGACGAAATCACAAATTCTGGTCATAGTTGACCACTAGACGGCTCACCAACTCTGAAGTAGGCCCAGCCTCATGTCCCGCATGGTCAGGTTGTTCGATATAGAATTGAATGAGCGATGGCCTTTGATCATCTGGTTTATTTAGCCATTCCAGAACCTGACATCAACAAACTCATTTGAAGATTTGCCGCTTTTGAATGAGATTTTCGAACGAAATGATCGAACGATAACTGCAAAGGTACCTTATCAACGCGATCGTTGAATGCAATTGAAGCATTGTATGGTTTCATATACTCGGTTGCTCGCATACCTGTAACACGTTTCCCATTTAATGAGTATGTTGGCATCCGAGAACTACAGAAGATGCATGAAACATAGGGAAATGCAGTGATTATTGAGCTATCTTGTGTTCACTTTCACGACAATAAGGACAGTTGCTTTCGTACCGTTGCTTGCTGCTTCGCTTCCTGGCCAAAAGAAGATGGCTGATTTCATGCCATGCTTTTGCACAGTATTCCATATCTGTAAGCATCGTGATTGCATGAACCAACTATCAGTTCATCTAAATTGATCAATTGCTTGGTTCGAAAAATTAGGCTGACTGAAACGATGATAGTTTTGGTTCCCATCTGACCATACTAGCTCATCATGCAACCATGAAAGGATGAGGTTACTCCATTTAGGGGTAAGCATTTCTGTAGAGCATTTCTGCTATCATATTTGTGATTTCATTTGTCGGTGTGGTGTACATGGTGACCCTACGTAGGTAGTGTGCGAATAGTGGAATGATGGCTCTGTTTCAAACTGCGTAAGTGAACGTTAGGAAATTGACGAAATCTTACCGGTTCACCTAGAAACCATCCATCGGCCGTTGAGGATTTTTTGAAATTCTTCTGCAATTGCCATTCATTTATTCAATTAAATTCATGTGATGCCTGTGGATGACAAATATGCAAATACAGAAATAAAACTCATACAAATACACAAAAAAACTCATTTCAGTCCCTCGGCTTCTCACATTTCTGATCTGGAGATCTAGTCTCCGGATGAGCATCAGATTGGCTGAATATGCTCTGAATTTCGTTTCGTTTGGAAACACAAGAACATGACGTAAAAGAACAAAACGCAAAGCACCGTTGGCACAAAGCAAATACTAAGCCGGTGACACGAACTATCAAGATGAGGGCAGTTTCGTTAATAGAACGAAATAAACCGTCAAAATTTTTATGCTTTCAATATCCATATTTTTCTCATAATGTTGATGCAGTACAAGAACAAATCTCAGCGATAATGCTTGACATGAGCAGGAAAATAACCTGAGGATGATTCGCGTCATAGAAACCATTATCTACAATACCATTCCACCCTGGATACAGTCCCGTAGCAATTGCGTAATGATTCGGGAATGTTTTTGATGGGAAAGACGGTATCATGTACTTGCTGTGAACACCACAGCGCATGAGTCGTTGGAGAGTAGGTGTTAATTTCTGATCTAAATAACTGGCACGGAATCCATCCATGCTCATTATGACCAAAGGTGGTGTTTTGAAGCTGAAAAGGTTACGGCTATCAAAGATACATTGAATGACCTCTCATAGCCATATTGACGCGCTGTTGCAAAAAGCCGTGGCTAGCATGCCAAGTGTTGCTTCTGAGAAGTCTGGCGGAATCAGCAGTCCGATAGAGGAGGCAAGAAGGTAGCACCTGGTTTTACAGGTTGAGTAATGAAACGATCTAATCCAAACTCACTTTCTCGTACATTCGTTGAGATTGCAGGATTGTGCATCATCTACTGGGTGTGCATCCGTCGCATGTAATAAATGGACTATCAGATATAACGGTATAAAGAACGTCACAAATGAATGGCCAGCCATTTGTGACTTGATCACCTTCGTTTTCTACAGAAAATGCCTGATAAGTTACCTGAAAATTAAATTCCGCACAATACGTGATGAAATATAGTTGAGTATTGGTAGCAGATTCCGTTTATGATCGAATAATGAATGACGCCGTTGATAAAAACAGATTTAAATAATCTAAGTGCCATTCGTATACCAAACAGAAGCGATTCTATTTGATCAGTGCGCAGGATCGTAAACAATCTCTGTTTTTATCATAGAAATTGCAGACTAGTTGCACTTCATGAATTCAATTCCATGACTCCCTGCGTTTATTTATTTATTTAATCAGCAAATCAAACTCATTACGAGTTTATGCCTCTCTGTTATTACCAACATCGCTAATATCACATTCTTCTTTCCTTGGCATTGTTCTTTCCGCGCAACTAACGATAATAGCGTTTGGAATCATCTGTCTTCATCAAATCCGAACTTGAATTATTGATTTGGCAAGTACAGAGGTTTTGGGCTACTCTCCCAAGACTCCCTTCGTTAACTCACAATAATAAGAGCGTGATCAGAGATTTCCGACCCCTGAAATCCTATCAAAGAGCTCCAGTGAGAAGACATTTTGAATTAGCGGAATGATACGAAAAACTTATAAAAATGTTGGTTCGAACATAATTCATTCCTGATCGCGTCAACAGTATTCAAAGCTACTCGACGAGAATTGATAATGAGACTTCAACAGACATTACCAACTGCTGAATAACAGCGCTGAGAAGCCATTTTTGTCAGAAACGTCATGAATCACTGATTCTAAGAACTGACAGAAAAGTCTGGTCTTAGTTAAAATTTTGCTCGATTCTAGGATAGTTTTTCGCATTGCAAAATGCGGTTTCAGGAATAATCAGTAAGACGAATCCAACTGCTACCACAAGTAATGAGGAATGGAAAATTGATACGAGTTTGCGAAAAAAAACATTCACTAATGACGCATTCGAAAATTATTTGTATGTACTTCTGGTTTCTTATAGGAGTGCATCAAGGCAGCGAATTCTAACGAAATCATTCTATCGTCATCCTCATATGTTGAGATGCATGTAGGATTGAATATTTTAAGCGTACTTTGCAAGCGGTCGCTATTCAGATGGTATTTTAGTGGGGTGATCTGGAGCATACAACGAAATGGCTGAAACTGGAATACGAAAGTGAGTACAGCTCTAGTGTTTGCTTTATTACTGTAGTGTTTGATCGAAAACACACAAATAACTGAAATTGTAGGCATTGTAGACATCAACAAATTTTTCATTATAAGGTGCTGAAATAACAGCAATTGTACTTGTGAATAATATTTGGTGGAACGCTTCCATGAAAACGGAGTTGTTGACATTCTAGTGTCAACAAAGAATTATTCGAGCAATCCAAGCAAATCCGTAGTTCCAGTGCACCATAAAAAACCAACAGTTCAGCAAACCACATGATTTGATGCTGCCGTTTCTGAGGATAGTTCCTGCTGATTCAATCAAACACCGCTCATTTGGAGGACTGAAATATTTTCCGAGGTTTCCGAAATGAAATGTATTTCACTCTGCTCTTCTGTTCGTTCTAACAAGCATTGTGAAGAAAGTCAAGCGGAACATCGCTTAGAGGTTCATTCATTTTGTATTCAGCGGCGTTTACATTAAAATGTGGCACAGTTATTTGTGTGTTATGAGCATTCGATTCGAGCGAGTCGGAATTACTGCAAATGGCAAATGCGTTAAAGTAAAGGCACGATGCGCACATCAGTTATAAGGTGCACTTAATTCGAAAACTATGAAAACTAAACGGCGTTCTTATTTATTTGGATAATATGTACGGCTAAGAGCCGTTTATTTCACATACACGGTTAAGCTTTCATTCGCACTAAATTTCACACATGCAAGAGGTGTTTGAAAAAAATCCACCTAAAGAGAATTTTGCAACGTTGAGACTGCCGTATGCTTCGTTCTTATCCCAAAACAATATCATACTTATCATTCTGTACAAGTAGCCCGACTCCAAGTACTATTAGTCACCAAAACTCTAATTTGATTGGATGGCTTGCATGCAATTCCAAATTAATTGGATCAGGATCGTCATCCGTTCAATTTTCGGAGAAAATGTACGCATAACAATCCGTACTTGGAGGTTTCCTGATATTCTGCTAGAAAAGAGTATTTGATTGAAATGTTCACTACGAGAATCTAAATCAAATCTACACTAAATATTGCCTACAAGGAAATAAATAAAACAGATGAAAGGCTTCAGGAAAATGAAAATTTGAAAGAAAATTTGCATTGCATTCAGGAACAACAGCAGCCTCAGGAACATTCAGTTCCACGCTGATTCCTCAGTGCTAAACGAAATGGTTATTGCTTCCTCTCAGCGACCCATCGAGCTTTGGTGTAATCGGAAGCAATGCAGATCTCCAGGATGAGTTTTCTGAATGCGAATTTTCAGCAATGGATGTAATGAAAAATTCATTTTGATGAAAGCAGATTATCTTATGTAATCAGTGCTTTATAAAATGCATACATTGGTATCGTTCAACCGACACCTGATCCTGTTCAATTTTTCGGAATCCGAATGCACTAATAGTACACAAGTGGCGATGGTGAGCACTATACAAATTTGGTATTCATTGACAGCACGATCGATATCAGAAATAAACTGGAAAGAGAGAAACTACGGTGGCACCTAGAGCATTTCACGACGGTGAGCATTGATAATATTTCAACGAAGGCCCATCAAACGATAGATGCTGAATTGTGAATATTTGCAGGGACCCAAATTGCTCTTTAGGACGGGGAGGCAGGAAGCATTTGTTCAGACTGTTTCGGTACTTCAGAAGTACCGGAGTGGAATCTTCTAGGTTAATCTTTGTCTTCCTGATTAAGAAGAAAGGTCCCTTATCGTGCCACAAGGTCCGCCAATTAGGAGCGCCCGGACCGGATTTCTCGGACTGGTCCTACGTTGCCCAATTAAACGCACTGCCTCCGACTATTTCGGGCTGAGATCGGGGGCTTTCGAGGTCCTAGATGTTTAACCAAGTGATACGAAAACAGGATCGTCCAAGTTGTCTCCAGCACTGTTTGTGTGATTCTTCAGTTAGATAATCAATGGAGCACAAAGCGTACGAATGCGCGTCATTTTTTCATCACCGTTGGACCGATGCGGGCGTCGCAATCGCAAGCTGTCGATGCCGATAAGTTTGCCACCATTCAACGATTGCAGATCTTTTCGTACTTTTGCTTTGAAGGATTACACTTCAAGTGCGTTGTTTCAACGGATTAAGAGTACATATTACTAGAGGTCGTTCACAGAGAATCAACTATCTATTCGTTTTCCATCAAGCAAACCGAAAAATTTCTTCACTGCTCATACATACGAAATCAATTACATATATAGTAGAACGATAACTGCTAGATATGAAAAGGATCATCTTTTAGATTATATTATTATTCTGTGATTTATTGTTAATATTAACGAAATTAATTAATTTCAAAATTAAAATTAACTAACTGCATTTGCTTTTTCGTTCATCGCTCAACTGTTTGGAACACGTTACGAGATATCCAGAAATTCACGAAAATTTATTTGACAAGCAGATTCTCAATAATTGCCTGAAACAGTCATCAGCTTGACTATTCGAAGATTGATTTTTCCAGGTGGTGTTCAAAATCTAGTGCTGAAGACAAGATCGCTCTGAAAAGTGTTGAAAAATTCAGGTTTTATTGCATGTGCGGATGTTGCATACTCATACATTCCGAAATGTTTAGATTTCTAAGGTATATGATAAACTGTTGATATCTCACAGACATATTCGAAATACTTCCAATATTACTGCTCAACTTTCGTTTTTCTGCAGACTTCCACAAATTACTTCATTCTGATTATATTTCATGAAATAATTTTCGTTTGCTGCTCGGCAGTCAAACAAATCTTGTATTGTACAATCATCGCTTGCCCGAACTTATTTGGTTACAGTCTGATTTTTTTGAAGATCACGGGCAGTGATGGGAGATTACTTTCCCTTAGATTTGTTGGTGAGCAACACTTTTTAAATGGTCATAAGATTTTGAACTCTAGGTACTGACATTCACATGCTCAAAAGGTGATTTTGCTTGCCTGTTAAGTTCAGATGTGTTGTTGATTTGTTTTTTATAGATATTCTTCTTCGTCTGCATTAAAAAACAAATAATCTGCTAACGANATTACAGTAATATCACAGGATGCAATACGTGAATTAATTTGAGCACACAACGTGAACGGGAACTATTCAGTTAGCGCGGATAACTTGTGAGCAAATGCCGCATCAATTTTGAAATGTCCGAGGTTGGTAATACCCGCTATATGATCAAACAAATCGAAAAATTCAAAAAATAATTGCATATCAAAGGAGTAACAGAGGAATACACAGTCAATCAGGTATGAGAAGGTGCAAGAACAAGTTCATTAGTAAACAACGTAGCTAACTCTAACGACTTTCAAAATATGCTAACAATAATAACTGCAAATCAAACAACGTTAAAATTTTTGATAAATGGAATTGCATTTTTAAAAGCATCTGTCATGAAAACTACAGATTGAAAATGGCTCTGCTGATCGACACCAACCAATTTAGTTAACCACAATAGATGACGCTGGATGTTTTCGTTTGTAAACGGTTAGTCATTCGACAAATTGCAACGAATCATTTCATTTGGAATGCTAAATGTCCATAGAAAACGCTCCCAAATTTTGCTAACTCACTTCATTAAATAGATGCTTAGTTGAATATCAGACTGAATTGCAAACAACGAATGGGAAGAATCGCTCCAGCAATGATGATGAAATAATAAAACCATATTATCAAAAATGAGATTATCATCCTGCAAATGCTCATTTCCCTTTACAAGTGCTTGATGGTTTCTTTGCAGTTTAATACTACTAACGCTATTCAGCCTTCCTGGTTATGTTTCACTGCGTTGACAGTGGTACCTGTGTTCGTTGTTCGAAAACAATTCGGGAATTTGAGAATTTGAGCACCACCAATACGTTTGGCATTATCTCATCATTCTATTCTATTACTGTCATGGATTATAAAAAAAGGGGGAGGGAGGCGAAATGATTTTGCGACCGAACAATGAAGAGAGGTGTCTCTGCCAACGCAAACAAACCATCGATCACTTGTAAAGGCAAATTAGCATTTGCAGGATCGTAAACTCTTTTTTGATAATACGGCTCCATTATTGCATCATCATCGCAGAAGTGATTTTCCGCATCTATTGTTTGTAATTCAACCAGATCTTCAATTGAACATCGATCCAACAGACTGAAAGGTACGAGCATTCTAGAGCTTATGACTGCCATTGTTGGTGTCTCGCTTGCAGCCTGGTTCTACCACACGCCTCTGGTTACCCTCGTCCTCAGTAAAATCGCGTCTTCAGGTGACCACAACTCTCTGTTGGTGAAAAACTGAAGGCCCGTCAGCAGCTCAATGTCAAGAATTCGTGCCGTATTCTCGTAGAGATAATCTCTGTGACTCTGAAATTGAAGAACTTTGGTAGTGACCAAATGAACTTGTCTCATTTTTGTTTTGCTGATAGAACTTAAAATGAAATTCTGAAACAGTAGACTGTGGAACTGAACAAGAACACGTCCATAGAAAGCTTGACATAAGATGACATAAGCCATAATCTGCAAGTTCGAATGGAGAATGACTCATCAACTGAAGGACTTTGAGTATTACTTATTGTTAGTACCGTGCTGCGGTCGCAGATCACCGAAGCTCTGATGCTAATTAAAAATCACTCACAAGGCAGTTGAAGTCTTCGTCGACGATCGGGAGAACAAATGGAATGAACGTTACATTGTGGCACAATTCAGGTGAAATCTGTTGATGAGGCGATGCACAACGGAACAAAATGACGAAAATGTGTGTAGGTGAAGATGATCTGAAGTGCTATTTTGTTCATCACCTTGAAACGAAACGAAAAATGATAGTGACAAGAACACAACAATGTTCCCAGATAAATTCACCACTTCATCGAGATTTTTCATCAATACCACAGTTCCGGAAACCTTGGTTGAATAGTGAGATGAAATAACATAATGGTGGCATAGATGGTTTTACAATGAGATAAAATTGCGAAGATTACAGTATCATTTCATCCGAATCACGATGTCCATCATAATTGCTGTCGTACACTGGTCCCGAAAACACCATGATTTTACCGTACTTTTGCACGTAACCAGCAATTGCATCAACCAGATAACCCCACGTCCCTGCAGTTGGCTCAAATTACTTCATAAATTATGTCAAATAACCTCATGGCGACAAAAGCGCCTTATGAATGGATACCCTAATATGCAACACACAAAACCAATTCCCATTCAGCTGAACAGTGTGTAAGTCTTCCAAGCTATCATCTACTCCATGACGTGCCAGATGAAAATTTAACAACGTTTGATTGTTTTGCAATTTACTTCGGTTTTTGGACAACTTCTGCAATCGTGGATTCAATCTGCTCATTGATGGAAACTAAAGCCTTGCATCCCAAAGCAAAGTAATCTCAGTAAACGAATGAAACAGTTCAAGCGAACAAAAATCATCAAACCATTCGCAAACCGCGATCGAACCTTTGCAAACGCGTCACTTATGGTGTTGTATTGTGCTGAAATATCAAGTGATGCACAGAGACAATAATTGGATTTAAAAAGCGATTCGAATCAAGTAAATGAATATGTTACTCAAAGGTTTTGATCGCTCTTCTCGAATGGCCGATTTCCTCTATGGTACTATTGTTCATAAGCCCAAGCGTAAGCGTAACTTCATTTTCAGAGAATTTCTTTCACTTACCCACTCATCATCGCTGTCACCGCAACAGCGCAACTGTTATTTGCATAAATATTATTCGATGGCATAGCTGGTTTTACAAATCGCTTGAAACATTTCAATTTGTTTGGCAAACGTGAATATTCACCTTTGTTGATGAATAAAGATAAATTTGTAACATTTTGGCCCAAATTCTCGTTGCAGTCCTTCGACTCACTTATGCCTTCGACATAGCTAACACATGGATTCCTGCAGAGCAAAAATTGACGGAACATTTATAAATTTACTCAGTACACGATCGAATTTCAATCTCCTTTGATCGGAGATTTAATCGCCAGATTACACCTACGCACGCATTTTACACGGAATCAGGTCTGGTGACTCCGATTGTGAGCGAATTCATTAATTCTTATTCGAAATTTGTACATTAGATGCCTTTCATGACACCTATCATGCATCCTTCATCAAATGTATTGTACTTCGATACAAGGCGTGAGCAGATTGTTTTCGGAGTTCCTTCGGTTCCTTAATATCTCAAAAGTTACCAGATAAGTTCAGCTGCACTTACAGCTGGATCACTATGATTTTTAATGAATGAAAGATCGAAAGTGAGTTGTGGTGTGATCTTGTGATAAAGATAAGGTGATTCATGATCTGCAATAAGAGGGTGACAAACTGAGTTGGTTTCGTCCATGTTTCCTTTGTTATCATAGTTTCGACGAGTTGCGTGATTCGAAGTTTTTTGTTGTAATGTATAACTGCATCGCATAACGAGATAATGCATTCGTGGCCATCAGTAATGAAGAGTGGTATTGTTGGTTGCGACAACTTGCAATTACTGTACATATTTTGTAAATCCTGCGAGTGCACACAATACAGCATTATGTTACATTTTTATCACAGTTGTCATTATTACTTTGAACAGCCTAAGAACAAATCTTCGACTTCTTTATTACCTCCACGCTAATTCCATGATTATGTAAGAGTAATTCGAAGACTCATTGTTTAGTTACACAATCACTTATGATTAGTGTTGACAACAACAGGCATTCGACTAACGGATTTGCCGCAAGAGCCTTCAAACACATCACCGAAAATTTCAGAGAATCGGCATTCTGTCAAAGAGTGATCTCTGGACTCGGTGTTGCATTCTCAGAAAATTTCAATCACGGTTGACGAATAGCTGATTACCAAAAGGATTTTTTATTGCAGGGTGCTGGGTCCTCGAATCACCGTCTGCCAACACCACTTAAGGCATTGACGGTTTTTCTCTTGGTTAATGAAATATCTCATGAACTGCTTTAAAAGCACGATTTCATTTTTCTTATTTCTCCTCAATACTTTGACGGAACGGGCAACTCTTTCACCTGACAATATTCGTTGCAGTTGGCAATCTTCAAAGGTGAGGTACACTGCGAAGAAGTGAGCCGTGAACTCAATTCAGGAACCTTTGACGGTGGATTTCTAAGCACTGAATAAAGGTGACCCTCCGTGCCGTTATTTGGTGCTGGCGGTACTTTGAGTAAATCTGAAACATACCAACTTCAACTGCACACTATCGTCAGCAAATGCTCAAAATTTGGTTTCAGAGAGGTGGGAGAGGAGGTCACACGGAACCATGAAAATTAGTTCCGGTAGTTGGTGGAATTCCCGAACATTTGGTAGCCGGTGACTGGTCGAAATTTTCGCCAATCTGCTGATTGAGTG